TATGAATCATACAGGGTTCACCCCACTAGACAAAAGCCATACCCACAAAATCCAAAACTGACTTCCTTAAAAGCCCTATTGTTGAACAGAGACAATTTGCAACACATGCCCTTTAAGAACCTCAGAGATATTTACCTGTTTCAGGTACCACCTCAAATTTTTGAGGTCTTTGTAGATAATGTACACCCCTGACATTATCTTTATTCCCCATTTTTCTTACAGTGACCTGGAATTTATCATAAGTCTTTTCATAATTTTAGCATCATTTACCATAAAAGAATAAATCTTTTCTTCTACCAAGTCCTGGCTCTGTTATAAAGGTATTTCTTTCACTTAACATGCTCATATTGCATTTTACTAGAGGCAGTTGGAATAAGCCAGGTGGCATCATCAACACTCTCCTTCGAAATTTCCTTCATTTTCTAGTTCTAGTCGCCACATTAGTACAGGTAACAGTGTTGCTTAACTTTATGCTACTACATAATAAATGTCCCCATTCTTCCAACTTACAATAATATTATCCTCCATTTCCAAGCCACCTTAAGGACCATAAGGTTTCAACTAACAGTCTCTTCAAGGGCCATTAGACTTTAATAATCTTCTCAAGTTTCTTCCAGCTTCAACCTGCCCCCAATCCTAAAGCCATGTTTCAGGTTTTTGTTATGGCAGTACCTCACTTCCAGGTATCAGAATGCGTTCCAATTATCTACCGATGAGTAACAACCTCCCAAAACTTAGTAGCTTAAAACATCAATATTTATTTTTCTAATAAAACTGCAGTCTAAGCAAAAGAAATTATATAAGGAATTAAAGAAAACCTAAAGAAACATATTATTTGTAAAATCCAAGATGTTATTTCTCCCTAAATTGCTATGTAGATTCAATACAATCCATACCAAAATACAACTAAATTTTTTTTGTAGAAATTGACAACTTGAAGTCAAATTTATAGGAAAATACATATAAACCCAAAACAATTTTTTAAAAAACACAATACTGATTTCAAAACTTGCTACATGAATCAAAACAATGTCATATTCATATAAAAGAGATATATAAAGAGTTCAAAACTACACATCGTGTTCAATTAATACTTAACAAAGGTGCAAAGTTAATTCAATTGGGGAAAGAACTGTCTTTTCAACAACTTCTACTGCCAACGACTGGATATCTATTTGTAAAAATAAAGAATAACTTATAACCTTACAATTTTTTTTTAAATAGCTGGAAAAAAATCACAGCCATAAATGTAAAAACTGAAAATACAACTCTCTAGGAGGAAATGTGGAAAAGAAGTTTTGTGAGCCCTGGCCGGTTTGGCTCAGCGGTTAGAGCGTCGGCCTGCGGTCCTGAGAGACCCAGGTTCGGTTCCCGCTAAGGGCACGTACCTCGGTTGCAGTTTGTCCCCGGCTCTGGTCAGTCGTGCGGGTGGCAGCCACTCGATGTGTTCCTTTCACATCGATGTTTCTCTCTCTCTCTGTTCCTCTCTCTCCCTCCCATTCTACCTGAACAAAAAATGGAAAAATGTCCTCGGGTGAGGATAAAAAAAAAAAAAGAAGTTTTGTGAGCCCAATCATTCGTTTTCAAAAAGATAAATTAGATTTTATTAAAATGTAAAACACTTGCCCTTCCAAAGACACTACTAAGCTAATAAAAAGATGAACTACTGTGAGGAGGAAAAAGTTACTTTTGCTATAATTGTTTTCAGAAGGCAAATTTGCTCCCCCAGGATACAGAAGGAAGGAGTTAAGCATGAATTTCACACTGACTGATGTGAAACCACATCCACAAGAAACACTAGGTGAACACACAAAACAGCAACCATCTTAACTGAGCCACAGAGGGATACGCAAAATGAACACATACATACAAACATTGAGCAGTTAACTCCATTCATTATTTTCTAAGGTTGTGTTTTGCTTTCCATTCACATTTGTGAAGGTAGATACACACACAGGGGTCCTGGGATATTTATCCACCAACTCCAAACCCTCATTGTTTTAAAAGACTGCTCTCAAATAGCATAAATGTCCTGGTACGTCCTGTTTGCCCACACATAAAGGCAGAGCAGGTGTCTGCAGCCAGGAAAATGTGTCACAGGTACCAACAGCAGGAAATCAGGATGGCATGTATTAAAAGGAAAAGAGCCAAGGAAATATTAGCAGAACACTGACAGCATTTGCTATGCTGCTGTATATGGTGTCATGAGGAAAATAAATACTAACCAAGAAATTACATGAGTAAACTACACTTATGGTAAGTGCTATAAAAGTAAATTGCATGAGAATATCCCTAAAGATAGCCTCAGTTTATTTCAGATGGCAACTTCCTAGAGTAGTTGATGCTGATCAAATAATGCACTCTTTCAGAAATCTGTTAAACACCAACTCCAAATTAATATCATAAACATCAGCCATTACTGAATGAACACTATCTTATTTGAAGTCACTGTGATTGGCAGTTTACATTACAAATGTGTGCACAATCATTAAGTTTTCCATTTTTTTTCATTTGGGTAAACCTTAACTAGAATTGACTTTGTTTCATAAACCTTAAATTGCAAAAATATAAAGCTATATTTCAATTATTTTTTTTCATTAAATGCTTTCACCAAGAGAAAACCTAAACCAGTATCATACTTGAGACATATGTTACAATCTATTCTATTACATGAGATGTCTTTTTTATTTTCTATACTTGTTTTCCTATAAATATATTTTAAATATATAAATTTATCTCTTAAAGTATCTAAAGAGTTAGCAATTGTAAAGTTAGGGACCAGTCCACAAAACTACCCTACTTCAGGGGTTCTCAGAGCAGCCTCAGATTTTATAATTGCTAGAAAGACTCAACTCACTGAAAGCTATTGTACTCTCAGCTAGTTTATTACGGGGAAAGGACTCAGACTAAGTCAGCCTAGGTAACAAAACCATAAGCCAGAGTCTAGAAAAGTAATCAATGCAGAGCTTCCAGTTGTTCTCTTTGTGGAGTCATGGACAGTGTTACTTTCTTGGTATCAATGTGTGACCTCACACAGAGAGTACTTCCAACCAGGGAAGCTCACCTGAGCCTTGGTGTCCAAAGTCTTTACTGGGGTTCCATCAGAGCTGCAGAGTTGACTGCCTTCACGGCTGGTCTCAGCTTCTAGCCCCTTAGGAAGTTGAGATGATATGCTTGTCTCAAAATCCCATCCTAAATCACACTGTTACTATCTGGCTTGACCCAACATCCCCAGGCAAACAAAGACACTTCTATCAGGCATGACATTCCAAGGGCTTAGAGATTACTTCCCAAAAACCAAGGGCAAAGGCCAGACTTCTCTCTGGGCAACTTTAAGTTCTTTACCACACTGCACCTCACTTACCCTGCTCTCACTGTGTATGGTCAATGCAGGAGCTAAGAAGCCCCGATAGTCTTCTTCATCTCAAAGAGATTAACTGCCAAATTATGATATTAATAACAACACAACTATATGTGGACTTCTGGAAAAAATGTGCTTTCAATATTGCTAGACTTAGGTAAGTATTTGGGAAAAAATAGTTTACTTACCATTTTGCAGGCAACCCAAAATTCACAGCTCCATTTTATTCTAATATCACCAGCACAGAGTGTTCTTTTTCCATATACTGGTCTTCATTGCTATAATATTTCATGTTTTGCAAAATAATGCTCAGGATTATCAATCCATGATGGAGTACCTTTCCTTAATATCAGGATGAAAATCTGGACTTTTGAAAAAACTATAAATGTATATCAGATAATTATATTCCTCTTTCATGAGATGAATACTATATTTTAAGAAAACTACTTGAGCTCACTGTGCTCTCTCTGTGGAAGCAAAAATAACTTCCTTAAATTAACTAAAAACCTAAAGAGTACTACTGTTTAAGCAAAACCTATTGGTGCTTCAGATGACCTCTGCAACACAACTACTGAGTGATATGTATGCATGTAAAAATGCAATATTTAATCATCCTTTCCATTAAAGGCACAGAAATGCCTAAAAATTTTATTTTTGGTTCAGTTAGATACCAGAATGCCCCCTGCTGGGCACTTTATAATATATCCATACAAATACCAATTTTAGAGTACAAACATTTAAAATCTTGACATGAAAAATAAATATTATGTTGGAAACAAAGCCTATATTTTACAAATGAGAAATCCTGATGTAATATTGATAGAAAAACTTTAGCAATGTTAAAATTAGTGAACATAAATCATTTTTCCAATACTGAACAATTTTATAAAAGCAGAGACATTTTTTAATTTTAAAGAGAATAACATGTTCCTTAGATCAGAAGCATCCACAAATATATTATCCAAACAAAATAGAAAATATATTGTATATTAAGCTAATGCCAGCCCTGGCTGGTTTGGCTCAGCAGTTAGAGCATTGACCCACAGACCAGAGAGTCCCGAGTTTGGTTTCCGCTAAGGGCGTGTACCTTTGTTGCAGTTTATCCCCAGCCCCAGTTGAGGTTGTGTGGGTGGCAACCAGTCAATGTGTCTCTCTCACATCAATGTTTCTCTGTCTCTCTTCCCCCCTCTCTCCCTCCCACTCTATCTGAAGATAAATGCAAAAAAATGTCCTCGGATGAGGATTAAAAAAAAAGTAATCCTAGAATTTCTTAAAAAGGTTATAATATTTAAGATAGTAGTAATAAAATTCTTATAGTGAGGTTATAAAATGTATTTTATATTAGTGGTAATATTTCCTGTCTGAAAATCGTGAAAGAGAACATTTTTGCTAAATATTTGACTGCATTAAATTTTAAAATAAATACACGGGAAAGGAAGCAATTAAACTTATTTTTAATCCATAAATAGCAGCATGTAATATAATAAATAATCACCATAAGAATGATAGTAAATATATATCATTTTCTACTAAAGATATACTAAAGATATACTAAAGCTACTAAAGAACTATCTATGTAAATTTATATTAAAATGTTTTATATTGATGAAATTCTGAACAGTAAGTGAAAAGCTAACCCTCAGGCAGAGATTTGAGAGTTTTCGTTGTTCCTGAGGATTTCCTGCCCTCCAGTGGTATCTGCCTTAATATTATCACTGCAGCTTTCAACATTACAAAGAGAAGTCACATCATTTCTACATTTACATTCTGAAATTATATCACACTGTATGGCAGCATCTAATCTTTCTTTCATTACAAATTCACTCTCTGTTTGTACCCACGCATCACATCTTACAGACTGTAGAATGCAGCTATTGCTGGTTTGGTTTCGTAACACGTGTGTTGAATTACACTGAGACTGGGCAAACTGATCTGTGCTATTTTTCACTGAGACCTGGTGAAAACTCTCTTTTTGTTTATGAATTTTAGCAGTGTTTTTAACAATCTTATCACATGGAAATTCTGCCAACCTTTCTAAATAAAAATTATTAGTTGTTTCTTCAGTTTTGATGCATCTCCTACTTGAATCTTCAATTTGGTGTGATGTTTGATCTTCATCTTCAGATGGCTAAAAAAAATTAGTAATTTTACTGTAAATGACGCTGAATTTTTTTAAAAAGTCAATCACTTCAAAGCATAAATTCATATTATAGAAAATTTCAGAACACAGAAGAGACTTCGACAAATTGCAAATCAAGCTGAATATTTGGTTTTAAAAAAATCAAGGAGGTTATAAAATTTTAAAGTAGCAAGAACAATAATTCTTGTAGCAAAAATACAAGAGAAGGGAATTTTGTCTCTTATCAGAACCCATTATTACAGGCTATATCATCTCCCTACCCTTTCACACAGAGGAAATGGTATGCACCACACTCTTCAACCACTTAAAAAGAGTAGAAAGTATTAACTTTGAAAGAAACACCGAACACATAAAATTTCTTCTATTACTCACTCACTGACGTAGCAAATCAAAAATATCTATATTGTACCTTTTGTGGGCCTAGTCTTATAGAAGATATAACTTGAGGAGAATTATCAACTAACAGAAAAACAAATAGCTAAAAGAAAAGTTAAATAGCAATAAATATTGTAACTGTTATTTAAAAAGTCAAATTTTAAAAACTTTTAATAGGTCTAGATTTCAATTTACTAACTTTAATTTTTCAACATCATGAAAAAATTATCTTTTAATTACTATTCTTTTTATTAATATCTTGTGTAAAAGTACTGATTAGGCCTGGCCGGTTTGGCTCAGCAGTTAGAGCGTCAACCCGAGGATCAGAGTCCCAGGTTCGGTTTCCGCTAAGGGCACGTACCTCCATTGCAGTTTGTTCCCAGCCCCAGTTGGGGTAGTGTGGGTGGCAACCAGTCGATGTGTCTCTCTCACATCGATGTTTCTCTCTCTCTTTCTCTTCCTCCCTCTCTCTCTCCCGCTCTATCTGAAGATAAATGCAAAAATGTCCTCGGGTGAGGATTAAAAAAATAAAAGTACTGATTATTCGAGCCGGAAAATAAAAAAACAAACAAAGTTAATATAAAAAACCTAAAATGAGGTATATGCCTCAGCTGACTGGCACTTGAATAGAAAAAGTAAGCCTAAGAAATAGCACTGAGACTGGCTGGGCACAAATTACAGAAAACAAGCTCAATAAATGTAGTTCTTCAAGAAACGAATATTCATTTAGCATCTGCAATGTGAATGAAGCAGACAGGAATGCTGCCCTCTTACAGCAACATTCTCACATTCTCACCGGTGAAATGACTGTGCCCAAACAATCACACACGTGTGTATAATTACAAACTGAGAAATACATTATGAAGAGCAAGTAGGAAGCATTTTGAGAACATAATTGAAGGTCCTAATTTGGATTGATCAGCCAAGAAGGGGTTTTTAGAAGAAGTGACATATTTAAGCTACGATCTACAGGATGAATAAGAGTAGCATAGAGGAAACAGGATATATAAATGCCCTGAAGCAGAAGAGAGACTAATAAGCTAAGGAGGTGAAGTGTCAGTACAAGTGGAGTATGGTGAGAGAAGGAGAACACTAAAGCAGGAGATGTTACCAAGGCCGGGTCACATATGGCCTACAGCCACTGTATTTTAGATTCCAAAGTAAAATAGAAACCCACTGAATAAATAAAAATTACATGGCGTTAATTTATTTTTTCAAAACATCATGTTGATTACTAACTGGAGAAAAAGTGGGGCAAGAGTGAAGTAGAATAATCTCTTAAGGAACAACCACAATAGTTCAAGAACAGGATGATGGTGCTTAGACTAGGGTACCAACACCAGAAGTTAAGAGAAGTGGATAAGTATGCATTTAATTCTGGAGGTAGACTTGACCGAATAAAGTGATAGAATAAATGGGTTCAGGAAAGCAGCTGAGACAGAAAGAAATGACAAAGTTAACTACTGGGGTACTGGTGTGAGCAACTGAGGGGACAGAAAAGGTGTCTACTAACATGGGAACTATCGGAAAGATCAGGAGCAGTTTAAAGTAGAAAAATAAGTAGATTTTTGTAAAAATATCCAAAAAGATATATCCAATAGAAAATTGGACATCTAAATAAGGAACAGGGTTAAAGTCATAAAGTTGAGAACTATCACTGAACAGATAATAAACTCACTGGAGTATATAACATCATCTAGAGTTTGGAGTGTAGGTTAAGAGAAGAAAAGGGTCCTGTAGCAAACCCTAAACATTACAACATTTAAATAGAGATAAGGGTGAAAGGGAAGTGGGCAAAAGCATAAAGTATCACTCAGAGAGGTATGAAGGAAACTGAGATACTGTGTTATCATAAAAACAAAGAGAAGCAAATCTTTCAAAACAAAAAAATAATCATTTGTACCAATGTTACTAGGAATTCTCATAAATAAAAACTGAAAACTGTCCAATAAATTTGGCAACACAGAGGTCATTGCTGTCCTTCCTTTAGCAAGGGCAGCTGGACAGTGAGCTAGAGTCAAAGGCAAATGGAAGAAAGATGGAAGTAATACTGCAATGGAATTCCATTTAAATATCTAATTTAAGAGAAATGCAGCATGCTCAATTATTCATATTACGGCCTACAATAATACTTTATAGCTTCTTCATATAAGCCTTGAAATTTTCTTTTTTTTATGTATTCTTGGTTGTTTTAGTTTTCAATTATTGTGAGTGGGTTCTTTTAAAAGAAACACAACTTTATCACACACACACACACACACACACACACACACACACCTTGATAAAAATGGCATTTGTAAATAGCAATGACACATTCATGGTTATAAATGTGAATAAATGATGCTCATTTACATTTTTATTTTATATTTCTTTCATTTTTTTCTTACATTTTTAACATTTTCACATTTTTTGTTATATTTATGTCCACAATTTATCAGTGCAACTATTTTTTCAGAATGTAAAATGGGAAATACAAATAATTCAAAATGAGTAGAGCATACAGTATTAATAAGCTAAGAAAGGCGGGGGGAGGGCTGGAGCATAACTTACCATCTCTGAAGTAGAACTGAAACAACTATCGGTTGGCCTTGGAGAGTAACTGGAAGAGTGACTACTCTGTGAAGAATCAAGGTCTGAAAACAAAGGTTTAATTTATGAAAAATGTACTTTCTAATACTCTGGAAAATATATACATAAGCAGAAGATACCTGCTGGTAAAATTAAGTTTAGCTAACACACTATAGAGTATTTTAAAGTGTGCCAGAACTATTTAACATTTTGGGTACTTGGCAGCTTGTGTTTCTGACAGGGTTTTATGGGTTTATTCTATGCTTAAAAGAGTTTCATCTACAAATAAAATAAGAATAGATACATAAAGAGAGAAATGAGAAAAGAAAACATTAGATTGATATTTTCCCCCAATGCATGAATCATTTTTTATGAGTAAATAAAGTGCTAATCTACAGGAAGGAGGAATAAATCAAGTTTATTAAGTACCAAGGCACCAGATATTTGCTAGTCTAGTAAGTGAAGCTTCATTGTATAATATAAACTATATGAAAAAAAATGAGTCAAAACATCCAATTTTATATTCTTCTTTTTTTTTTTTATCCTCATCTGAGGACATTTTTGCATTTATCTTCAGGTAGAGCTGGAGGGAAAGAAGGAGGGAGAAAGAGAAAAGCATGGATGTGAGAAAGACACATCGAGTGGTTGCCACCCACACAACCCCAACTGGGACCAGGGACAAACTGCAACGGAGGCACATGCCTCTAACAGGAACCAAATCCAGGACTCTCTGGTCTGGAGACCAACGCTCTAACCGCTGAGCTAAACCGGCCAGGGCCAGTTTAATATTCTTTCATTATCTGCTTAATGTGTTCTATTATGATTGTAAGTAAAGTTTTAAAAAGGGACCTGAAAAGTAGGTCATGACTCCTTACAATGCATAAGTGCTATGGATCAACAGTAGCTTAACCACTCCACTCCTCCCCTTGTTTGTGAAAATGGGTTTGCTAACAAGAAAAACAAAAGGTGCCTGGCCAGAGTGGCTCAGCCTCGTCCTAGGCACAGAAAGGTTGCAGGTTTGATTCTCGGGCAGAGTATATACCTGGGTTGCTGGTTCAGACCCTGGTTGGGGCATGTTTGGAAGGCAAACAATCAGTTTTTCTCTCTCTCTCCCCCTTCCTCTCTAAGCGTGTCCTTGGGTGAAGTATAAAAAAATAAATAAAATTAACAAAAGAAAAGCAAAAGGTAACAGAATGTGGAGCAACAACTCATATCAACTCACATGCCCTCCTACATGCAATAAACAATGAATACAATTGCCCCGGCCGGTTTGGCTCAGCAGTTGGAGCATCGGCCCCTGGCCCAATGAGTTTTGGGTTTCATTCCAATCATGCCCTGGTTGTGGTTCGTCCCAGCCCTGGTCAGGTCGTGTGGGTGGCAACCAGTCGATGTGTCTCTCTCACATCAATGTTTGTCTCTCTGTTTCTCTCTCTCTGTTTCTCTCTCTCTCTCTTTCTGTCACTCTTCCCCCCTTCTCCCTCCTTCCCTCCCTCCCACTTTGTCTGATGATAAATGGAAAAATATCCTCAGTTGAGGATTAAAAATAAATGAATAAAACAAACAAAATATAAAAATGAGTACTATCTATTTGTGCCTTGGGTCAACTGATGCTCTCTCTAACAAAAACTAACAACCATCAGTCAGCTGACAGAGAATTTAGCTGAATTCAGATACCCTAAATTCATCATTCTAGAAGGAAACAGATAACCCCAGGGAGCAGGTTCTCCCTGAGAATGAAAAGCAGAGTACAGAAAAGTGAAAGGTAGAATTTCATTAAAAACATAATCTAAGGGCATTCCCCCACAATAAGTTTCATTCAATCCATAAGTACAGTAAACTCAGAGTGAACAAGACAAATGTCTCTTGCATGAAGCCTAACAATGTAAAAAAAAAAGAATATGCAGATCAAAATGTGAATACAATTCAACACTTTATGTAACACATTATAATACTTAGTAGGGATACATGGCCATAATGTTCAGTGTTCAGAGTCTTATAGCAAAGACATACTTTTAAAATAAAAAGTTTAATATGATTTTACTGATTTGAAAGAGAGCTAGGAAGGGAGAAGAAGAGAGAGAGAATGAAACAACTATGTGAAAAAGAAACATCAATTGACTACCTCTAGCATACCCCTTCTGGTGATCAAGCCCACAATCAGGGCTGTGCCCTGACATGGAATTGAACTGGTGATCTTTTGGTACATGGGACGACATTCAACCAATTAAGCCACACCAGCCAGGTCAAAAGACATACATTAAAAAAAAAAAAAAAGTCCCAAAATTTGGTGCAACAAAAGTCATAGAAGGTACAAAAGTAAAAGAAAGCCAATTGTGATGAGCTCCAAGGAATGAGAGATTTGGTGAAGAGTTATATAGAAAGCACAACTATAAAGAGTTGGTTTGGAAAGATAAATAAGAATTTTCCAAAATGAAAAACAGCATATGGAATAGAAGGAAAAAATGTGTCAAGATATAGCTTACAGTTAAAGAAATGTGCATTTTATTTTTGTTCTACTTCCACTTTTCAGCATCTTTTTAAAAAAATCTTTATTGTTGAATGTATTACAGATGTTCCTCATTTTCCCCCCATTGACCCCCTCCTCCCCACTACCACCCCCCTCTCGCCTTTTCCCACACTATTGTCTGTGTACATTGGTTATGCATATAAGTTCTTTGGTTTATTTCTTCCCACCCCCCAACCCCTTTCCCTTTGAGGTTTGTCAGTCTACCAATGAATTGGTACTTCTTAATCCCTTCACATTTTTCACCCATTCCCCCAACCCCCCTCCCTCCCATCTGGCAACCAACAAAATGTTCTCTGTATCTATGAGAATGTTTCTGTACTGCCTGTTCATTTTGTTTGTAGATTCCATTGTCGATAGATATGCATTCATTGCCATTTTGTTTGTTCATATATTTTATCTTTTTCTTCAAAAAGACCCTTCATCATCTCATATAATAATGGTTTGGTGGTGATGAACTCCTTTAACTTTTTCTTGTCTGGGAAACTCTTTATATGGCCATCGATTCTAAATGACAGCTTTGCAGGATAGAGTAATCTTGGTTGTAGGTTCTTGCTTTTCATCACTCTGAATATTTCTTGCCACTCCCTTCTGGCCTGCAAAGTTTCTTTTGAGAAATCAGCTGACAGCCTTATGGGAACTCCCTTGTAGGTAACTAACTGCTTTTCTCTTGCTGCTTGTAAGATTCTCTCTTTGTCTTGACCCTTTTGCATTTTGATGATGATGTGTCTTGGTGTGGACTTCTTTGGGTTCATCTTGTTTGAGACTCTCTGTGCTTCCTGGACTTGTATGTCTGTTTCCTTCACCAAGTTAGGAAAGTTTTCTGCCATTATAGTTTCAAACAGGTTTTCAATTTCTTGTTCTCTCTCTTCTCCTCTGGCACTTCCAAGATACGAATGTTGGTACGCTTGAAGTTGTCCCAGAGGCTCCTGACACTATCCTCATTATTTTGGATTCTTTTTTCTTTTTGCTGTTCTGATTGGGCATTTTTTGCTTCCTTATTATTCCAAATCAATGGTTTGCTTCTGGGATTTATGTACTCTACTATTAAATCTGTATAAATTATTCTTTATTTCAGTTAATGCCTCTTTCATTTCTGACTGTGCATCCATCATTTCTGACTGGTCCTTTTTTATGCTCTTGAGGCCCTCACTTAGTTCACTGAGGTTCTCATTAAGTTCATTGAGCATCCTTATAATTATAAGCAGTATTTTGAACTCAGCATCTCTTAGGTTGCTTATCTCCATTTTGCTTAGTTCTTTTCTTGGGGTTTTGTTCTGTTCTTTCATTTGGGACCTGTTTCTTTGTCTCCTCATTTTGGCTGCCTCCCTGTGTTTGTTTCTATGTATTACTTAACGAGAGGTATGGGGCTAGCTGAGACCAGATGCTGCTTGTTTGAAGGAATTTAGGAAAACCTGAAGCAGGATCCAAGACAAGTCAATCCTATGGTTAAGCAAGTGGCAACAGCTTGGGTGGGCCTGAAAATTGGGTGGTGTGGGGCCTCAGGGAATCACCAGGGCGGGGATACCAGTGTGAGCCAGGTTGCTGGAGTCCCAGATATGGTGGCTGTCTGCTGTCCCAGGGAAGGGCTCACCAAAGGAACAAAGGCCTCTGACAGCACGTTTGTACTGAAGAAAGCCCCCTCTACAGCCCTCACTCCAGTGCCAAACAGGTCAATTCTTCCCTGTATGTCTCTGGTGCCCCCTGAGCTGCCTCCCCTCCAAGCTTAGAGGGAGAGAGTCCGATAAGTCTGTGTGTGGGCCCTTTAAGGAGCTGCCTGGGGCTCCAGCCGCATCAGCTTCCCTGAGCCTCAGTTCCTGCTGGTTTTTCCAGCAAGAAGTTATGGGGATTCTCTTCCTGGCACTGGAACCCTGAACGGGGCGCCTGGTGTGGGACCGGGACCCCTCAGTCCTCAGGAAGGACCTTCCCAGCCGAGGTATCACCAATTTTTATCCGCCACACATGGGTGTGGGACCAGCCCACCTGCCTCTGCCCCTCCTACCAGTCTCAATGTGGCTGCTCCTTTAATTCCATAGTTGTAGGACTTCCATTCAGCTTGATTTAAGGTGGTTTTGAATGATGGTTGTTCTGTAGTTTAGTTGTAACTTTGATGTGATTGTGGGAGGACGCGATACCGTGTTTACCTACCCGCTATCTTGACCGGAAGTCAAGAAATTTGCATTTTAGATTATCTACCAAGGGATCTAATAAAGGATGGATTAAAGGGCGAGAGTGGATAAAAGCAGGTCAGTTAGGAGATTAACTCAATAATCTAGTTGTGAAGTAATAAAGATTTGAAATAAAGCAATAAAGTAAAATTGGAATTGAAAAGAGGCAAAAGATTCAAATTTCAAGAAATCTTTCCAATAGCCTCAATTTTTACATATATGTAGCTTTAAAGATTGTTGTGAATCTAGTATAACATCAGTACCAAAATCTGAGAAAGATTTCTCTCTCTCACACACACACACCCCAACAACAACAAAAGACATTATAACTGATACCACAGAAATTCTAAGAATCGTAAGAAGCTACTATAAA